GCGCTAAACCGCTGCGCCACCCAGGGATCCCGAGGCATCGATTCTGAAGGCTGTGTGTGACTTTGGCTGTGTAGATGGTCTCTGTTGCTTTCTAGAATGCTGGGCCCCCCATATGGCCAAAGGTGAGAAACCAAGGCTTCTCTTTAGCCATATCACAGTCCCCTGTCTTTAGAGCTAGGGTAGAGGAGCTTGAATAAAGGCCACCCAAAGATATCAAGTCCTAATCCCTGGGATTTGCAAATGCAACCTTATTTGGAAAAAGTAACTTTGCATATGTGATTAAGTCAAGGATCTTGAGATAGGAAGAGTATTGCAAATTACCTAGGTGACCCACAATGCAATCACCAGGGTCTGTATAACATAGAAGCAGAGGGAGATCCAGGTAGCATACGGGGGAGGTGATGTGAAAGCAGAGGTAGAGATTAGAGTGATGTAACCACAATTTAGGATTGCTGCGTGGCCAACCAATAGCTGCACAAGGGCAAGCAAGGACCCTCTCCTTTAGAGCCTGGAGAGCTCCTTTCTGCTGGATGTCAGTCGTCTGGACTCCCAACTGTGAGAGAATATATTTCTGCCATGTTAGTGGTAATTCATTCTACAGCAGCCTCAGAAAACTGCTATACGGGGTGAGGGCAGACAGGTGCCCAGTCCTACAGATGCCTAGGGACCACAGCAAGGAGTCTGGCCATACAAGGACCCTTCAACAATTTCCCCAATTCTTCAGCTGACCCACATATTCATCTTGCTTTGCACTCCATTCAGTGATTTACGGAGAAGTTGCCATGGACAAGGCAATTCGCTAAGTATGGAGGAGCAGTGGATAAAAGGATCTCAAGGAACTCACAATAAGGACTCCTTGGGTATAATGCAGCCCCAGAAGCACCTCTGCTGACTGAGCTTGCCTCTGCCCAAGTCAAGTTGCTTGATAAAACTCGTCCTCTACCAAGCGGTCCAGCTTTGTGGAGTTCAGGATAGAGGGTGAACATAAAGTAGACCACTCCCCTGGACTCCCCTCGGCCTCCACCCAGTTACCTTGCACAAAGCACTCCTTCTGTGCCAGGTGCTGTGCTCTCATTTGGCCCAACCTGGAGCCCGGGTTTGGGGAAATTCCACTTTAGTTCCTCAGGACTGCTTGGCCTGGCTGGAAAAGTGCACATGGCTCTTTCCCCCACACTGCGGGCGAAACAGGTATCGTAGTTTTTGCCATTGTGACGTGAGTCAGCAGTACCTGTGGGTCCTGAGATTCACCATCTGTGAACCATTGATCTTTGCTTATCAGGTACAAAACTCGCATAAAGTGTCCGAGGGTTTTCCCCAAGCTGCGTCAGAGCATGAATAATGTTGGCAAGGGGAGTTACCCAGATATGAACCCAGGCACCGGCAGATATTTCTAAGAGATGAGATTTGTGAGGCAAAAAGATTGGATTCGCGGGTCACGATGCAAAATTTAGAGGAATACGTAGCCACTTTACTTTTATTTTTTTACGTAGTCACTTTAAATTGTATCTAAACTGAAGTGTAACAGGGACATGGATATCACCCGTCCTGGGAACTCCTACTCTCTTCCCCCAGGTTTCCGAGAGGAACTTCCACATACCTCCAGGAAGAGGAACAGTAGTGGGAAGACCAGCTCTGGTGTTTTTGCTTTTGTTTGTTTGTTTGTTTGTTTGTTTGTTTGTTTTAAAGGAATTCAGTTGGGGTGATAACATGGTCATAGCAGCACTGAAACTTGTGTTTATTCGGGGGGGTTAAATCCTAAAAGAATAAAGTCCTATCAGCCCCTGCCAGGATAACTCCTGCCCACTTGCCCACGGGGCTCCTTGGAGTCATGCCCTGCCTCCCTGCTATCTTCTTGGGATGGTCTTCACTCTACAGGTGCTTGGGGCCATAGAGCCCTGCAGTAATTTGACCAACTGGGTCTGTTTTTGTCAGACCCGCTTAGATCTTTACCTCTTCTATTGAGGCAAGATATGATCCTCCATGCAAGTGGGCCTACTTGGGTCTCAGCCAGCAGAAATAAACCATCTTCATCACTTCACAATTCTGTCCTTGAAATGTCTGTTGTCATCACTGTGTGAAAGAAAGCACAAAGGATCAAGTGATGTGGAGCAACCATTCTAGACAATATACAGATAAAATGAGGATATTTTTTCACCTAGCATTGTACTCTTCCAATGACTAAATGCTTGTGCAGCTACCTTAGTTGAATTAAGCAGTCTACTTTCTTTCTTTCTTTTTCTTTCTTTCTTTCTTTTCTTTCTTTCTTTCTTTCTTTCTTTCTTTCTTTCTTTCTTTCTTTCTTTCTTTCTTTCGCTTTTAAGTGCTTTCCAAGTTGTTTCTACTATAAATTACATCATATTGTAGCTTTGTAGCTTTCTTTCTCTCCTGCATTTTGGATTATTACTTTAAGTTAGATTTACAAAAGGTGGCCCCAAGGTTCTCCCAGACACTTTATATTTATATTATATATAGACACTCCCAAGTTATTTTTACCTGAGCTCTTGTGCTCCTTTGCACAGATACTGTGTTGCAGAGTGGAAGCAGCAAACAAAGACTTTCCTGGTTGCCTTGGTGGTTTTCCTGTTACCTCCTGTTCTCAGCATATTCTCTTAATACATACTTGTGCAAATTTTCTCCCAAATTACAATGTCCCACGGAATAGTGGTACAGCCCTATTTGCCCCCACTCCAGATTTGGGGTGAAAACACGAGGAGAACAAACCATGAGAGACTCCTAACTCTAGGAAACAAAGGGTTGCAGAAGGAAAAGTGGATGGGGGATGGAGTAATTGGGTGACAGATATTAAGAAGGAGATGAGCACTGGTTGTTATAATATACATTGGCAAATTGAATTTAAATAAAATATTTAAAAAAAAAACATGAGAGGGGTAAACTCAAGAGTGATGATTAGAGGACCACGTGTGATGTACTCTACTTTCATGTTGATACCTCCTTTCTTCCTCAGAAGCTTTCAGAAGGAAACTACAATCCTCATTCTACATACAAAGAAGCTAAGAGTGGGAGACCAATGGGCTGTGAGTCTGATTGCATTTTAGAATTAAACAGTGGTGATACTGACAATTTTCATCATTCTCCTACCTTATTTCTTCCAAATTCCCTACTTCTCTCTTTTTTTAAAGGCTTTATTTATTTATTCATGAGAGACACAGAGAGAGAGAGGCAGAAACACAGGCAGAGGGAGAAGCAGTCTCCCCACAGGGAGCCGGATGTGGGACTGGATCCCTGGACCTCAGGATCAAGCCCTGAGCCGAAGGCAGACACTAAACTGCTGAGCCATCCAGGTTTCCCCCAAACTCCCCTACTTCTAGGGAGCTCTCTTCTGATATCCCAAAGGATGTGTCCATTCACAACAGGCTTCCTTGCCCCATAATCTAGCAAGACTGCTTCTATCAGTTGGTTTCTGTCACAACAGTGCTGCATAACAAACCATGAAAAAACCCTCAGTTGCATTTAATGGCAAGCATTTATTGCTCATACATCTGTGGTGGTCAGCTAGGCAGCCCTGTTGATCTTGGATGGGCTCACTTGCACATTGAACTCATGAAGTTGGCTGGCAGGTCTAGATTGGCCTTGGTTAGGATGAGTGAAGTAACTTGACTCTCCTCCAGCTGGCTAGCTGGGGCATAGTTTCATGGTATTAGGGAGCTACAAGAATGAGCATGTGCCTCAGATCTCTACTTGCTCCATGAAACCCTGGGACCATGAATGCAAGGAATCTATTGCAACCTTCCAGAAATGACTGAGTTAGAGGTGGGGAGTTTCAGGAACTTCTATAGCTCCCTCCCAACATCTGGGGATCTGTTCACTCCCTTGGGCTAGGGGAAATTCATTTAAGGTGAGCCTCCAAACACCTTCTTTTTGAAAGAGTTAACCTTCGGAACTTAGCATTCAGTTTTGACCCAACACACACTGGAACCCAGGGGCTCTGACATTTGCCAATTTTAAGATAATGAAATGAAAAGTTTGAACTTTGTAATCGCTTGGACCTGAATTTGAAGTCGAGTCTTCAGTTAACTATCTGGGTAACCACTGCCACATCACTTCACTTCTCTGAGCTTCAGTTTCTCAAACAAAAGTGATAATAACTCTCATTTATAATCTTCATGAGACCAAATGAGGATGGCGTATACAAACGAATTGGTACATAAAAGGCACTTGATAACTGGGAGCTATCAAATCAGGCTCTACTCTTTAATTGTGCCAGAAACCCAACTGAAACTGGCTGAAGCCTAGAAGGGTGGTGCTGGGGGTAGAGGGTGGGCACCAATGAATCACAAAACTGTCATTCCAGGAACACAAACAAAGAATTATATATTTTCTCCATTTCTTGGCTATAATTTTCCCTGCTTCGTTTCATCCTTCAAATAATTTTCTGCTACATGGGGCCTCAAGATGTGAGATTCTCTAAATCAATTATGACCGTGGATGGGAAAATGAAACATTCTCCTTGACCAGAACTGAATCAAGGAACTTCCCTCCTTTTAATAGTATGTGTGCATGTGTCAATGTGATTGGCAGTCCCACAGTAATGAATGGAATGGGAGCTAGATGGATTTCCCTTTATCTAAAGATTCATTTAAAGAAAGGATGTTGATAGACATAAGCAACAAAATGGCCATTACTTTATTACTCTGCTTAGCATAGAATGAAAAGGGGGAACATTTAATGATGATGATATTTTCAATGTACAGCATGTAAGTAATGAAATGACTCACAGAAATGATCACTGCTACCACTATAATTCAAATATATATGCATATACATACATAGTCACCACCCTTGGGCATGCTACATGTCATGAAGAAATTATACAGGCAGAAATAATACAACTTCAAGATAATGATAAAATTATCATATTATTTTAATATGGTTTTCAGTTAGAAAAATTTAATAGACTATTTCTTAGGGAGGTTTTAGGTATGCATACAGTTTAGGTAGAAAATACAGAAAGTCTCTGTATACGCTCTGTATTAGTCTGTTTAGGTCACCATAGCAAAATACCACAAGTTGAGTGGCTTAGATGATAAAAATGTATTTTCTCATAGTTCTGGAAGCTAGAAATCGAAGATCAAGATGCTGACAAATTGGGTTCCTGGTGACAGCCTTTTCCTAGCTTGTAGATGGCCACCTTCTTGCTGTGCCCTCACTTGGTCTTGACCGATTTGACTTTAATTACATCTCTAAAGGCAAATACCATCACACTGGGGGTTAGGGCTTCAGCCTCTGAATTTGGGGTGGGGAACACAATTCAGTCCATAACACACCTCCCCTTCCTGCACAGTTTCTCCTGTTATTAACATCTTGTATTAGAGTGGTACATTTGTTACAACTGAGGAGTCAAAATCAATAGATTACTATTAACTGAAGCTCATCGTTTATATTAGGGTTCATTCTGCATTATACATTCTCTGGCTTTTGACAAATGCATAATGATGTGTATCCACCACTACAGTTTCAGACAAAATAGTTTCACCACTGTAAAAATGTCCTGGGCTCCACCTTTTCAACCGCCTCCCCCTGAATCCTTGGAAACCACTCATCTTTTTAACTGTCTCTATAGTTTTGCCTTTTTCAGAATGTCATATAGTTGGAATGTAGCTGCTTCAGATGGGCTTCTTTCACTTAACAATACGCGCATAAAGTGTCTTTGTGTGTGTGTGTGTGCATGTGTAGCTCAATAGCTCTTTTTTTAAAATCACTGAATAATATTCCATTGTGTACATTACTACAGCTTGATTATCCATTCCTCAACTGAAGGACATCCTAGTTCCTTCCAATTTGGGGCAATTATGAATAAAGCTGCTGTAAATATTCATGCTCAGGTTTTTGTGTGGATGTGTTTTCAACTCATTTGGGTAAATACTCAGGAGCATGATTACTGGATTATATGGTAAGCCTATTCTAGCTTTATAAAAAATTGCCAATCTTCTTTCAAAAAAATTTTCCAACCTCTTCCAAATTACTGGTATAATTTTGCATTCCCACCATCAGTAAATGAGAGTTCCTCTTGCCTTACATGCTCTCCAGCATTTGGGGTTGTCAGTGTTTTGGATTTTAGCCATTCTAATAATTACGTAGTGTTGTTTTAATTTACAATTCCCTAAACATAATGTGTTGGGCATATTTTCACATGCTCATTTGTCATCTGTATGTGTTCTTAGGTGAGATCAATTGTTTTTAACTTTTTAAATACTGTAGGATGGCAGGTCCACCCCTATCCTACCACTCACCACAAGTAGATAAGACACCTCCCTCCAGGCAAGCTCTTGCTCACTGAGCTGCACACACAGAGGGCAGGTTCTGAAAAGAAGGAATCAGCAACACTGAAATCTCCAGAACAAAGGCTCTAATTAAGGTATGTATTAATAAGCATCCTTGGGGGAGAAAGATAGAAGTAGGCAGGGACAGTTTTATGTCCTTGGGGAAAAAAAGCAAAGGGAAGGCAAATATTTCAGAAGTCCAGCAGAAGAGGTAAACATTTTTCTTTAATCTTTGCATGTGTTGAGTCCACAAACCTGCAGATGTCTTAGTGGCTGCCCATGGCTCTGTGTGAGGGAAACAAGCCATGCCATTTTCTCTGCAGGATGCTGGGAAGGGTCAAAGCTCCCACAAGAGTGGGAAGGGTGATAAGAAAATACTTCTTATCACCAGGCATCTGAGAAGAGTCTGTCCTTGTGTTGGTTACAAAGGCTTCTGTCAGACAAACCACTACCGAGCTACAAAATAGTCTACAACTTGGAAGTCTAGTGGATTGGAGTGTTTTTACTCGGCCAACAACATAGCAAAATATAGAAAAGGAAAAGGGTTCAGAATGCATGAGTTTTGAGTCCTGGCCCTGTGCTTCCCTCTTTAGCTTTAGCCAATGGACTGACACTTTCTGAGATTCAGATACAGCTCTAACTCCAGAAACAGAAAGGAGATATGAATGCCTGCTTCCCAGGGATCCAAGAGAAATGAATGAAGGAATGCATCTAAAATGCTTGGTCCAGGCACCAGAGTGGCTCAGTTGGTTAAGCATCTGCCTTTGGGTTCTGGGATCAAGCCCCGCATTGGGCTTCCTGCTCAGCCTCTGCCTGCACCTCCCCTTGCTTGAGTTTTCTCTCTCTGTCAAATAAATAAATAAAATCTTTAAAATGCTTGGTCCACTGTAATAAATGATAGACTTTTTAACACTTCACGTGGATTTTACAGGTGAGAAAACAGGGGCAAGTATGGTTAGAGGGTTAGCAGGAAGGATTTGAGGAAGGAATGAGTTATGGACCTCCCTTTATTCTAGGATATTAGTAGAGCAGAACAGAAGGAAGGCAAACCAAAAATTATTTTTCTTTAAATAATTGTAAGACTAGTAGGAAGGAAGATGTAGGAGGAGAGACTAATCGTTTGAGAGATAACTAGCCACAAAAAAAAAAAAAAAAGACCTACCTCCATACTTCAGAAATTATGTTTTTAAATTCACTTTGGGTACATACTTCAATGAAATTAATAAATTAGTACCTGTATTTTTTTATTTTTATTTTTATTTTTTTGAAATTAGTATCTTTAAAAATGGCTAACTTGCTTGGCGTTTCCAGTTATAGAAAGAAAGGTGGCCTGGTGGACAGATGTCTGAATGTTTGGCGGCCAAACACGTTGGAAAAACAATGTCCAAATTGAAGGCATCTTGAGTGTATATATCAATCTGAGAATTATCATGTTATAATTGTTGCATTTTCCCTCACACAAATATAGCTTATGTTTCCTTTTTAATTATGTCCTCTTTGATGGCCTTCAACAAAGTTTTATAATATTTTCTATGATTTAACTGCAGTTTTTATCATGTTTATTCTTAGAAATCTTAGTAATTTTTGTTGTTAGTATGATTTGGATCATTTTTTTTCTATTGTACTTTTAAAATAGTTATTTATGGTGCTTAGAAGAGCAGTGAAAAAAATTGACTGAACTCTTTAGAATAGTGTGGCTATATTTCTAAAACAACAGTGCAAGGAGAAGTAAAGATACAAAACCAGAGACATGACACCATTTGTGTAAGTAAAAAGTGAGCACAAAACAATATTATATATTATATACTATTGATGGATACATTTAAGTATATAAAAGTAGGGTTGCCTGGGTGGCTCAGTCAGTTAACCATCTGCTTTGGACTCATGATCTCGGGGTCCTGGGATCGAGCCCTGGATCAGGCTCCCTGCTCAGAGAGGAGCCTGCTTCTCCCTCTCCTTTTGCCCCTTCCCCCTGCTCATGCTCTCTTGCTCTCTCTCTCTCAAAAAAAATAAATAAATAAAATGATCCAAATCATACCAACAACAACAACAAAAATCTTAAAAAAAAAAAAAAATGTATGTAGGGCAGCCTGGGTGGCTCAGCGGTTTAGCGCTGCCTTCGTCCTAGGGTGTGATCTTGGAGACTCAGGATCGAGTCCCACGTCAGACTCCCTGCATAGAGCCTGCTTCTCCCCCTGCCTGTGTTTCTGCCTCTCTCTGTCTCTGTGTCTCTCATGAATAAATAAATAAAATCTTAAAAAAAAATGTATGTAAAATACAGGGGAAACTGTTTGGAATGGATCATGCCAGACTGGTTTTAGTAGTTGCTCCTGGGGCATGGGGAGAAGTTGTGTAGTTAAAGAGAACTTTAGCTTCATCTGTATTGCATTAGGAAAGCAGGAAGGAAGGAAGGAGAGGGAAGGAAACTAAAAAAGAAAAACAAAAGCAAATCTGACAATATGCTAGCAATTGCTAATTCTGGGTGATGGAACTACGGGTATTTAGATTTTCTTCATAAATTTTGGCTTTTCTTATGCCACCCAATCCCCCCTGTATTGGTCAGCTGGGGCAATTGTAAATTTTCAAAACATGTTAATAGACTATTGTTTAGAGAAACTTTAGGTTTCCCGGAAATTTGGAAATTTTGTCCTGTCTCTGCTGGAGTGGAAAGGTCTGGGACTGTGGGAAACAAAGTACTTCTTCTAAAATCTACAACCTTGTTGAGGCAAGGAAACAGAACTAAAACAAAACGTACTAACATAAGCAAATGGATTTTTTTCACCCACTTGACCAACAGTTACTGGGTAATCACTATAAACAAAGATCGGTGTCAAAGGCTGTAGGAAGCTCCCTAGAGGCCCTAGCTGCTGTTGAAATGGCTGATTAATTCCATGGGTGGCCTCCTTGTGGAGTGGCTGTTCCACCACACCTTTGGTGTCCTTTCCAGAAATAGCCTAATTTTTGTGGTATGGACAGGCTTCCAGGTCTTCGAGTTCTGATTCATCTTTGTATGATGACTCCCTCAACTTACCTCTGTCTTGCGTTTGACAATAAGCTGCACAGAGAAGCCAGGCTGCCCCTTAACACTTGGCTTAGAAATAACCCAGCCAGATATCCAATCTTCCACAAAACCCTAGAACGCAACTCAGCAAGTTCTCAGCCACGTACAGCCAGAATCCAATTCCTCCACTTCCAATAAGGTGTTCCTCATTTCTGTCTGAGACCTCATCTTTAACATTCATATTTCCACCCCTTTTCTGTTCACAATGATACCTGTATTCTCTGAGGTGATGGAAACTCTCTCTTCAGCCTCCTCACTTCTTCTTGCACCCTTAGCATAATCACTTTTATCATCCATATTTCCGCCAACAGTCTCCTCGAGGCAGCCTTGGCTTTCTCTAGCATGCGCCTCAGGATGCTTCCACTCCACTCACTAGCCACTTCCATGCCACTTAGGTATTTTGTTATAGCAGCACCCACCTCTCAGTGTCATAATCTGTACCAGCTCAGGCTGCCGTAACGAAATGCCCCAGACTGTGGGCTTAAACAACAGAAATTAATTTTAACATCGTCCTGGAGGCTACAGGTCCAAAACCAGTGTGCCAACAGGACTGGTTTCTGGTGAGACCTCTCTTTCTGGCTTGGAACCATCCATCTTCTTGCTGTGTCCTCGCAGGGTCTCTTCCCTGTGCGTGGAGAGAGAGAGAGAGAGAGAGAGAGAGAGAGAGAGAGATTTCGTGGTCGGTTTCCCCTTCTTCTTATAAGGACACCAGGACTGTGGATTAGGGCCCCATCCTTATAATATCATTTAACTATAATTACCTCCTTACTGTCTCATCTCCAAATACAGTGACATAGGTGGTGTCTTGGTCAGTTTGGGCTGCTGTAACAGAATAGTACAGACTGGATGGTTTATAAACAACAGAAATGTAATTCTCACCATTCTAGAGGCTGGGAAGTCCAAAATCAGAGTGCTGGAGGGCTCTGGTGAGAGCCTTCTTCTAGGTTACTGACAGCCATCTTCTCCTTGTATCCTCATGTGGCTGAGAGTGGAGAGAAGAAGCAAGCTCTCATGTGATTTTTATCAGGGCACACCCCTCATGACCTCATTTAACCAAATCACTTCCCAAAGAACCCACTGCTTAATGCCATCACAAAGTAGGGTAGGGCTTTAACATATGAATTTTGGGAGAACACAAATTTCAGTTCATAATAGGGCTTTAGGACTTCAACATGAATGGGGTGGGATGGCTAAACTTCAGTCTATATTTATAAATAAAAAATATTTTTAAGGAATGAATCTCTTTTAGGTGCTTTTCTGACCTCATCCTCCTTCCTTGATGGATTATACACTGGAGCCCAATGTGACAAAGATAACAGACTACTACTATCCTGATATCATCTCAAGCCCCTGTGATGGGGAACTTATCCAAAGAGACAGCAAGTTGCTTCTTGCCGTCTTTTACTGTGTCTTATTTGTATTCGGTCTTCTGGGAAACAGCCTGGTCATCCTGGTCCTTGTTGCCTGCAAGAAGCTGCGGAGCATCACTGACATATACCTCTTGAACCTGGCCTTGTCTGACCTGCTTTTTGTCTTCTCCTTCCCCTTCCAGACCCACTATCAGCTAGACCAGTGGGTGTTTGGGACTGTAATGTGCAAGGTGGTCTCTGGTTTTTATTATATTGGCTTCTTCAGCAGCATGTTCTTTATCACCCTCATGAGTGTGGACAGGTACCTGGCAATCGTCCATGCTGTCTATGCCATGAAAGTGAGGACAGCCAGAATGGGGACAGCCCTGAGTCTGGCTGTGTGGCTGATTGCCATCATGGCTACCAGCCCATTACTAGTATTGTACCAGGTGGCCTCTGAAGATGGCATTCTACAGTGCTATTCATCTTACAATCAACAGACTCTGAAGTGGAAGATCTTCATTCACTTTGAAATGAATATCTTAGGTCTGTTGATCCCATTCACCATCCTTATGTTCTGCTACATTAGCATCCTGCACCAGCTGAAGAGTTGCCAAAACCACAACAAAACCAAGGCCATCAAGTTAGTACTCATTGTGGTGATTGCATCTTTACTCTTCTGGGTCCCATTCAATGTAGTCCTCTTCCTCACTTCCCTGTTCAACATGAACATCTTGGATGGATGTGTCCTGAGCCAGCGGCTGATTTATGCCACCCATGTCACAGAAACCATTTCCTTCACTCACTGCTGTGTGAACCCTGTGATCTATGCTTTCATGGGTGAGAAGTTCAAGAAACACCTCTCAGAAATATTTCGGAAGAGTTGCAATCACATCCTCTTCTACATAGGAGGACAGATCCCAAAGGAAGGCTTGGAGAGGTCCCACTCCTCCTGTCAACACCCCTCCCGTTTCTCCACCACAGACTACATTTTGTGAGTGGGTGCCTGGAAGCAGCTCTTCATTTAGGGGGACAAATGATTTACACTGGAGTCTGAGGCTACATGAAGGGATACTTTTAGAAATGTGGTTACAGACAGATGGCATATTTCATGATAGTTAATGAACTCCTATTGCAAATTAATTTTCTCAGGTTTTGAAAATTTTGTTACCATTCTCTGGAATATCTCACTATTATAATAGGAGCTTTGGAATTTTTTTCTTAGTTTTTGTAGTGTCTTTATCATATATCAATTTAAAATTTATCAATTTTATGCTTTTTCATATATATTAAGGTGATCATATAGTTATTCTCTGTTATTCTGTTAATTCAGTGAACTACATTGTGTGATTTTCTTATTTTAAGTCAACCTGTATTTTCCCTGGAAAAGATGACCTCTTGGTCACAATCATTTTAATAAATAATTGGATTCTCAGGGTTTTCGTGTCTGTGTTCATGAGAAACATTGCCCTATAATTTTCCTTTTTAAATGTCCTGGTCAGATGTGCAACAGCATGAATGGACCTAGATGTATTATGCTAAGAAATGAGTCAGAGATAGAAAACCAAACACAATGCGATTTCACTCATATGTGAAATTTAAGAAACAGAACAAATGAAAAGAGAAAAAAAGAGATACACAAAAAAACAGATTCTTAAATACAGAGACTGAACTGGTGGTTGCCCAGAGGGCAGGTGGAGGGGGCTGGGATGGGTGAAATAGATAAAGAGGATTAAGAGGTACAAACCTCCAGTGTTAAGATAAACCAGTCCCCAAGATGAAAAGTACAGCATAGGAAATACAGTCAGTAACGTTGTTTGGTGACAGGTGGGGGTGCCTACACTTACTGTATATGAGCACTGAGACATGTACAGAATTGTTGAATATTGTATACCTGAAACTAACATAACACTATATGTTAATGTATATTAAATTAATAATTTTAATAAATATCATAATATTATATATATTTAAAGATTTTTTTTATTTATTCATGACAGACACAGAGAGACAGGTAGAAACATAGGCAGAGGCAGAAGCAGGCTCCCTGCAGGAAGCCTGATAAGAGACTCGATTCCGGGACCCGGGGATCATGACCTGAACCACAGGCAGACGCTCAACCACTGAGCCACCCAGGTGCCTCAATGTATATTATTATATATTATATTTTATACAAATATACAAAATATATAATGTTATATATTATATAAATACCATATATAAATATAATAAATTAATATATTTTTATTTTTAAAAAGTCCTGGTCGGATGTGGCCTCCAAAAATGTGTTGCAAAGTATTCCTTTTGCTGCTAGTCTCTGAAATAGTTTGTGCACAATATTGGGTGTTACGTCCCCCCTTAAAGGTTTGGTGAAATCAATTAGTGAAGCCATCTGGGATTTCTCTTCAGGACGATTTAAAATTATGCCTTCAGTTTCTTTGGCACATAAAGATTATTCAGACAACTGCTTGTCTCAGTTTGGGAACGCTGTGATTTTTAAGGAAATTTCCCAGTTTAAGATGTCAAATTAGCATAAAGTTGTTCCTAATGTCTTCTTATAGTATTTTTATGAGACTATGAAGTGATGCCCTATTTCATTCCTAAAATTGGTGATTTGTATTTTGTCTCTTTTTTGTTCCTGATCCGTCTTAGGAGGTTTATCAATTTTATTAATCTTTTCAAAGAACCAGCTTTTGGCTTTGTTGATTTTCTGTTTTTGTCTTTACACTGATTTCTGCTCTTTAGCTTTTTGTTTAAGATTTTTAAACTTAGGGGGCACCTGTGTGGCTCAGTGGTTGAGCATCAGCCTGTGGCTCCGGTCGTGATCCCCGGGTCCTGAGATCAAGTCCCACATCAGGCTCCTCTCAGGGAGCCTGCTTCTCCCTCTGTCTGTGTCTCTGCCTTTCTCTGTGTGTTTCTCATGAATAAATAAATACAATCTTAAAATTTTTTTTTAAATTTATTTCAGAGAGAGAGTTAGTGTGAGTGGGGGAGTGCGGAGATAGGAGGAGAAAGAACTCAAGCAGATTCCCAGCTAAGTGGGAGCCCATCACCACGTGGGGCTCTACCCAGAGCTCCATGAGGGGGTCCATCTTCTGACCCTGAGATCAGGACCTGAGCGAAAACCAAGGGTCGGAGGCTTAACCGACTGAGCCATCCAGGCGTCTCTGCTCTTATTTTTTTTTCACCTGCTTTCCTTAGGTTTAATTTCTATTTTATTCTAGCTTCTTGAAAAGGAACCTTAAATCACTGATTATCAACCTTTGTTTTTGAAAGATGTACTTTAGAGCTACAAAATTTCCTCTCAGCCAGGCTTACGTGGCATCCCACATATTTACGTGTGATAGATTTTCATTGATTTGCAATTTAAATTATTTTCTGTTTTCCATTGTGAAGTCTTCTTTTTATCATGAGTTGTTCAGAAATGAATTTAAAATTTCCAAATATTTGGGGATTTCTTTATGCCTTAGTTTCTAGTTCAACTTCACCGCCCTCAGAGAATATATATGTGTGCATTTGGCTTTTTGAAATTTACTGAGAATTGTTTTATGACCCAGAACAGGGTTTATTATGGTAAATGTTCCCCGTACATGTGAAAAGAATGGGTGTATTGAGTGGTTGCTGGCTGGAGCTGGTTAATCAGATTGCTCAAGTCTCTATTCTTTCCTTCTTCTTCTTCTTCTTCTTCTTCTTCTTCTTCTTCTTCTTCTTCTTCTTCTTCTTCTTTTTTAAGATTTATGTATTCATTTATTCAGGAGACCCACAGAGAGAGAGTCAAAGACACCGGCAGAGGGAGAAGCAGGCTCTCCACTGGGAGCCTAATGTGGGACTTGATTCCAGGACCCTGGGATCACAACCTGAGCCGAAAGCAGATGCTCAATCACTGAGCCACTCAGGTGCCCTGCTGAAGTCTTTATTCTTGCTGATTTTTGCTGTTTGCTTATTCTATGAATCACTGCAAAAGTGTATTAAAATCTGTGTTTAGGCGCCTCGGTGGCTCAGTGGATTAAGTGTCTGCCTTTGGCTTGGATATGATCCCGGGGTCCTGGGATCAGGTCCCACATTGGGCTCTCTGCTCAATGGGGAGTCTGCTTCTCTCTCCCTCTGTCCTCTGTCCCCCCTGCTTGTGCACTCTCTCTCTCTCTCTCTCTGTCAAATAAATAAATAAAATCTTTTTAAAAATAAAAAAATTAAAAATAAAATAAAATCTGTGATGGTGAGTTTGTCTATTTTCATTTTAATCTCTTTAAATTTTGCTGTATATATCTTGACACTCTGTTATTAGGTGCATGCAAATATAAGATTTGTATACCTTTTTATTGAATTGACTCTTTGGGGGCATCTGTGTGACTCAGGGGTTGAGCATCAGCCTGTGGCTCAGGTCGTGATCCCAGCGTCCTGAGATCAAGTCCCACATCAGGTTCCTCTCAGGGAGCCTGCTTCTCCCTCTATCTGTGTCTCTGCCTCTCTCTGTGTTTCTCACATGAATAAATATATAAAATCTTTTTTTAAAAAAAAGAATGAAAAAAAAGAATGAACTCTTTTATCATTATTAAAGTTTATTTATTTGTTTGTTTGTAATCTCTATGCCCAATATGGAGCTCAAACTCCTGATCTCAAGATTCTCATATTTTTCTGATTGAGCCAGCCAGGTACCCCAACTCTTTTATCATTTTTTTCTTTTATAATTATTAAATATTTCTTTTCCTCCAACAATACTCCTTGTCTGAAAGTTTGCAATGTTCAGCATTTATATAACCACACCAGTTTTCTTTTGATTAGAGTGTGTGTGTTGTGTTTCTCTATATTCTTCTTCTTCAAACCAAACTATGCTCTTATACTTCCTTTCTCTCCTGTAAATTTAGGTGGGACTTTTTTTCTTTTTGCACAGACAAGGTATTATTACTACGAAGATACATAATACATATAAAATCTAAAAATCCTTTAGATGGAATATTCTCTTGGATCCCATTATATAGTACACAAAAGGTTGATTTCTGATTTCAGAACAATTATTTCTTTTCTTTTCCAAGTTAACAACATAATTTCAATAATAGATGATACATTCTCCAAAACTGACACACATTATATTGACCGTATTGTAAATAAATGCCTGGAGGGCAGCCTACTCATTTTAGGATAGCATCCAAATGGCTTCCTTGAAATGTTCAAAATGTGCTTAGGATATTCACATACTACTCCTGCAAAAAATGTAACTTCTGAAAAACATGAGAAGGTTGCTTCTTTCCCCTGCTTCAGACACAAATTTACTTTATTCTGAATATTCCCCGAGCTCCATTATTAGGTCAGGTCACTAATGACAAAAGAGAAACTCCTCATTCTGAATGTCCAGACACTGAAATTCTGAAACATAGCCTTATAGCAATTTCCTGATAATCTGTGTTTTTGTGGAACTTTCATTATACTGTCACCTCAGTGCTTAGTAGATCCTCTTTTCTTGGAGTAATTTCTTACATTGATGCCAGTAAGTGCGATATGTGCTTATATAATTGTTGTTGAATGAATAAAGGAATGGGCCCCTGAAACAAGACAGGGTTACGAACTTAGGTGAGGTAGGTAGGTAGGACCATGTGTCCTCATTCCCAGACACTGAGGTTATCTGCTCTCTTCCTGGTCATTGTTGATCACCCTGGTAACCCCAGCTGGGTGTGCCAGGTAAAGGCACTGTCCCTCCCAATTCCTCACTGTACTGTACCTGTCTAATCTACAGGAGTCACTGGGTGGGAATAAGGAGATTCTAGGAGTGATTGTGCATGGGATAGAGACAGTATGGGACCCAGAGACAGGAATTTCTTTTTTTTTAAATTTTATTTATTTATTTATGATAGTCACAGAGAGAGAGGCAGAGACACAGGCAGAGGGAGAAGCAGGCTCCATGCACCAGGAGCCCAATGTGGGATTCGATCTCGGGTCTCCAGGATCGCGCCCTGGGCCAAAGGCAGGCGCCAAACCGCTGCGCCACCCAGGGATCCCGAGACAGGAATTTCTGATTCTAGTGCGGGCTCTGTCCAAACCTCCCTGTGTCTCCCCTCAAGGCCTGCTTTCTCACTTTGAAAATGAGCAAGTTGAACTAGGTG